TCTTTAAAATTTCCTTTAAAGAACAGTTCAGTTCGGCTTGCTCAAAGCCAAGGGCCATCCTAGAAAACCAGGGCCAATATTGTATCATGTTAAGTGGTGGCTACTTTATATCAGACTTCTCTTAAAGGCAACAAAAATGGGGGGGGTGGGTAAGGGAGGTGGTTATAAAAAACTTCACAGGAAACCAAATAGCCTTCATTTAAATTAAAAGCAATCACAGCCTGATTCTTGGAACATGCTTCGAAATGCTTTTTGGCATGCAGCTGCTACATGCCGCCAATATTGTGTGTAACTGGAAACATTTCAAACAGAATTGTTACCAAAGTCAAAGACCATAATTGCAAGCTGTGGGATCTGTGCCTCAGATAAAAGAAGGGCAGCTGAGTGAGAGCCCACTGCACTGAGGAGTCTACTTACCGGTCTGCATCTGACTGCAATATTTCCACTGTATTATTGACAAATCTTTCTTTCCACAGACCCAATGAGAAGAGAAGGAAACAGAGAAGCATACACAAAGCAAAAGCTGGTGGGTGCCATAAATCAGCAATCGGGACAAAACTCTTAGAGGAGTATATGACTTCAATACTAGAACAACTGAAATAACACAGCCTTAACGTTTTTTTTTTCCTTCCTGAAGTGCAATCCACTAGAAATGAAAGGCGTCTCTCCCCAGAGTTTACCCCAAATCTACCAGTGAGAAAAACGCAACTGCAGTTTAATTGGTCAGTGGGATCACTTAGGACCAATCTTATGGGTGGGGGGGAAAAGTTAAGTAAAGGTAAATGAGAGCTGCTTGCTAGTTTACAGCTTTAAGTTTTAAAACGTTTACACTGGCATCTGCTTTGCTGACATTTTTATTTGTATGTTAAATTTAAAATCTCTCTTTCTAGGGAAATGAAGGCGGAAAGCTCTAATCAGTTCAGGCTGGGCAATCATTCTTGTTCCTAGAGAGGTCCCTTCAAAAGTGACCAAAATGCATTTAGAGTTCAGTCTAAACAAGTGAACAAAACAGAGACACAAGAAGAATTACTACATTTTCTTTGAGAGGTTTGATCCCC